TCTGTCTGGCGTTAGGCGATGGCAGAACGGAGTGCTGGCGGCAGACGATTTAATTAAATGGTTAATCGAATCAAGCTAATTCCTCGATACAACATCCAGTTGCCTTTTGGCTTGCCGGTGACTAGGACGTGCAGGTTCTGCTCCCGCGACTCGCGGAGCTGTTGTTTGTCATTTCCCTTGGACAGAGAGGGAGAATGACCGTGTGGGAGATGGGGACTAGGCTGCCCTGTCTCCCTCTTTCCAAACAAGTCCCGTGCCCCGCTTGTCCCTCGGCGGCAGCAGCGCCGGCGAGGGGCAGTGGGAGGCAGGAAAGGTGCTGCTTGAGGAGCCGCTCACCAAGGTGACATTCTCGTCTTCCTTGTAGAGAGGCTTTGCTGGGCAGGTTGAACGAAGCCGGTGCCCGTGCCCGTGCCCGGCCTCGTCGTCGTCCTGCCCAGCACGGAAGGGGCGAGCCCCGGGCGGAGGTGACCGGGGTCCCGCATCCCGCGCCCTTTGTGGGGTCAGCATCCCCTCGGCGCCGGCGGGCGAGGAGCGAGCTGCTGCTCGTCCTTTTTAAATAACCGTACAGCGGCTCTTGAAAGGGCAAAGAAAACGCAGCGAAACCGAAGCATACGGAGACATCCCCGGGCCACGGCCCCCGGTGGGCGGCGGAGACACCGGGAAAGCGGCGGCGGGGGCCGCTGCCCAGAGAGGGAGTTTTGAGGAACTCCTGGATGAGAAACGCGCTATGGACCTGCTGGGGCCCGACTTAGGGAAGACTCCCTGCAGTTGCCCCGTCGGGCAGGCCCCCAGCTTTGCCCCACAGCTCCGGGAGAGCCCCAAGCCTCTCCCTCTGCCCATCCACAGCAACAGGAAAGAACTCCTTGCCTCCGGGGCTTCGTCTCCAAGCCAGCTTTCCTGGGCCTCGCCCGGCAGTGCTCCAGACACGGGCAAACCCCCGGAGTGGTACCCAAGGGCTCCCCGGCCCCGGAGGGAGCTGGCCTCAAGCCCTGAGCAGTGCTCCAGACACGGGCAAACCCCCGGAGTGGTACCCAAGGGCTCCCCGGCCCCGGAGGGAGCTGGCCTCAAGGTCTGGCCTCCAAAGAAACGGGTCTGGAGCTCAGGATGGGCTCTCCACTAAGTGTTTTTAAACGGGGACGTCCAGTCGCCCGCTACAGTAAATCCGGGTTGCGCTGAGGTTCCATGACTGCGAGCCCGCTGGGGAAATCGCAGTAACTGCTTTTAAAAGCCGGCAAATCAGCGCAAAGTAGATAAGGGCTTGCATCTTCTGGCCACCCCACCCCCACCGCCACCCCCGCCCCCCTTTGCTATTGCCAGACAAAGGACGGGGTCGAGATGGGCTCTGCGCTGCAGATGCTCACAGAGGGACAAGTAACCCGGAGATCAACTGGGGCCAAGGAGCTGCCCTGGCTTCTCGGATTCTCATTTCCCTGCGCCTGCCTTCCTCCGTCTTTGCTTAGATCAAATTAGAAACGATTCAGGGATCTCTTCCCCCTTCCGTGGGACAGAGGAGCTTCTTGAAACAGTATCGCCACTGGTAGGGATGGTGCCCACCCAGCCCCTGGTTCCATTGGCTGTCGACATCAAGGCTTGCATCAATCAAGAGATGAGGGGAAGGAAGGACAGGAGCCGGGCAGCGCAGCGCGGCAGGTCTGGCTGCGCGCCCGGCCTGGGGGACAGGCTGGCGGTGCGGAGCGGCTCTCAGCGCCGGGGGTGGGCGCGGCTGCGTGGGAGAAGGCATTTCACAGGGACCCGCCTGTGTAGCGAGCCCATGAAACCGATGGGCATGATTCCTGATGTGGAAAGCACAGCGGCTTTCCACTGGAGAGTGCTGAGAGAAACGATGAATCAGCACGCTCGCTCCGCGCAGGTTCCGCGCAATATAGGTGAAGGCTGTTGGGTAACCATGAGTGATAATCTGGATAAAATGCTTTTCTTTTCCTCTCTTCTAAAAAAATAATTTATTTTTTTACTTATTTTCTTTTTTTCCCCTTTCTCTTCCCCCCTCACAACAGCAGACAATTTTTCGTGGCACAAATAGTTTCTCAGGAAAAAAGTTCATCGAGTGAAAGAGATTGTTAAATAGGAAGAAGAGTTTGTTAGGCAGGAGAATATAATCCATATTTTGCCAAGAGTATCAAATTCATTCTGAAATAAAAGCTCGATCCATTTAAAAAAAATATTTTTCTGCTTGAATAACACAGCTGGGTGATGCCTTGAGCTTATGTTAGACGGTTGCTCATCATTCATTCGCCAAGAACTGACCTAAACGGTGCCTGTGGGATTAGGTCAATTTTAGTGGATCTACTTCGCCTCATTTGGTTACTAATTGGTTTCTTGTTTTATAAATCGAAATCTCATTTTCAGGAAATTACAAAACCCATGCAGCCAGTCCATGGAGGTAATCCGTGGGTCGGGGGTTTTTAAATGGAAATGGTTCTACAATGCATCAAGTATTAAGCAAGAGTAAAACTTCCCCTCTATTTCCAAATGAAATGTGAGCTCGCTAGCTCCTTAGATCCGTAATAGATACATCCCTTCTAAGGCTACTTATGTAAATATGATAAACCAGACCGCGGTGGGGGAGGGGCCGCAGGGAAGAAAGCAAATTTTATCTGCTAAGGTTAATGTGGCATAACTTGGAAATCTTCCAAAATAGATTATGTTTTGCTTTGTCTTCGGCCACTTTAGCTGGGAAAATCCTTTGCCTAAAAACGATTTAGTTATCTTTCTTCTCACAAAGCTGCTTGTTTCTATTCCAAAGCTATTATGCTGTTGGCTCTCCAAATTACAAGAGAATCTTTAGATCTTGTTTCCAAGCGTAATCCTGGAGCAAAAGGGAGAGCTGATTTCCTTGTTTTGTTTTAAATAGACAATCAAAGGATTTGCAGAATTTTCTGCGGTAGGTCAAGTGCAAGAAATCACAGTTTGCCCCCTCGATAAAAGGAAATTGGATCTTAAAGAGAATAGACGGTGGGGGGGGGGGGAGGCGGGGAGGGAGAGGGGAAGGGAAAATTAGTGGAAGGGGCTTTAGCTTATAATCTTTAAAAACAGTATTTAAGGGGCATCAGGAGAGGCCGTCGATTTGGGAGAGGCTGGGGTTGGCAACGATTAGAAATAGTCCCCGACTTGAAAGTACTGAAAACATCTGGGCAGCACAAAGGATCGTCTCATGTGACAGGATTTCAAAAAGCCGGTTCAGGTAGACAAGTGCAAACGTTTAATTATAAACCATGAGCAGACAGAGCCCAGCAGCGCGGGGTTTCCACCTGAAACATATAGAGGAGCTCAGCGCGCCGTGAAGAACCGCCTTCCCCAGGGAGGTTAACCTGCAACACCCGTGAGCTGTTCATTAACCCGCTGGGCTCGGGTTATTTTCCCTTTTAGGAGAAGAATAATTAGAGCCGTAAACTTAGATTAATAAGCAACTTAAATCATAGGCGGGCAGTGCAGATTTAGTCTTGAATAAAGAAACCTGTCACTCAGATTTCCCTCCGGGTGGGGGATGTGGCAAAGAGCCAGCTCAGCGCTAAAGGGCCATCCTGGCTCCCCAGCAGAGAAACCTCCGATGAGCTCGGGGAAAAACAAATAAATATACCGTGGGCTTTACCCTTTTTTTCCTGGAAGCTGTGTAAGATTTGCCAGCACCTTCCTGAATACAGGGGGCGGAGGTGATCCTCCATCCTGGAGCTTGGTTCCTCCTTAATTGGCGTGGAGGAATTAACGGGAAGGAGCCTGTTTCTGACTGGCGACCTGATATGCTGAGGCTGCAGGCTGAGGAACGGGCCAGAGAGAATCTCCTGCCCCTGTAGGGCTATGAAGTTAAGGAAGAAGGAGAAAAGTGTAGGGGCGGTGAAGAGACAAGTTGCTGTGAAGAGGTAGAGGAGGAAAGGGAGAGAAAGAAGCGAAAGGCGGGGACGAGTGGGGCACACGGCGGTGGGGAGAGCTCGCAGGGGCTGCGCTGGGGTGCCCCGCTCAAGCAGCGCGGGGGAAATCGTTAGCTTTGCTCGGTCCGGCAAACACCTGGGTGAGGCCGGTCAATAGCGAGGGATGCCCGTGGCTGCCTGCTGTCAGCACCTCGTCTGTTTGCCTCGAAATAACTGGAAAACGAGGTCTTGCCTTTCCCGAACCCCCACTGCGGGAGTGAGCACACCCCGCCGGCTCGGGTCCCCTTGCGACCTGCACCCCAGGCATCGATCGGGATTTGTAGGTTTCCCCTCCGTTTTACTCTGTCTTACTGCTTGTGCGTGTCGGAGTGACACTCATTTCATGGCACAAGCCTCAAAGGTTTTAACTGACCCGTTTAAATTATTTCAGCAACAGCACTGTGAAAAGTCATCGTCCGTGAATAGCTTTACTCCGGTGAAGTAACTTCCACGTGGTTTTTATTACTGCTCACTTTGCATAGGAGAAAAGACGCGTGTAAAACATAGACAAATTCGGAAAGATTAATTTCTGGAAGGGGCTCTATGGAGGCATATTGCTCCTCCCTGCAGAGGGAGCAGCAGGAGGAGAGATGGAAGGGATAGAGGTGAATCCTGGAGGCAGACTCCACGGGGCAGGAAGAAGGGCGGTCCGTACCGTTGGACAGTGACGAGAAATCGTGATGTTAGGATTCTTCCCCTGACGTTCAAGTGGGACAGTTCCCAGCAGCCTAAAGCAGCACTGAAAAGCACTTAGGTCCGGCATGCTGTTACACTTAGGTCTTAAAAATTAACTTCACCCTTAACTCAAAATAAGTATTCGGGTATTTTTCTCTCTGGGGAATTAGATATTGAAAAAGAAAAAAAAAAAAACCCAAAAAAAACCCAAAAGAAAACCAAAAACACAAAAGAGGCTTTTATCTGCAACGAAGTCACACCTAGTTTTCCAAAGATTGTATGTATATATATTTTAGAGTGTAGACAAGGAAAAAGTGTTTTTCCCTCCAATCAAGCCCACACGAGTCAATTTTTCATCTCCTGACCTTCCTTTTATTTTTTGTTTGTCTTAAATAACAGGACTTGGAGAAGCCTGGGGCCACTCCAGCAGAACCAGCCCACTGGATAATGTTGGACGGGAACTGGGATCCCATCTTTTGCAGGTACTGGTCTGGAAACGACAGGCATATGGTATTAATGATTAAAGAAATAATTCCCTCTTCTGAGCTTTCAATAGCCACCTTGACTAATTTTTAACCGTTCAAGTGTTTAATAGAAAGGTAGGCAGGAGGGGAACCACTTCAGAAATGCGAACCACCGTGATTCAATGTCGTGTGTTTTATTGGTGGCTTGGTCCTTCTGGGTCCTTTGCCTCAGAAGCATCTAACAGTACATCCACAGAGAGGGATTCACAGTGTGTCCCAGGGTGCCAGAGATACAGGAGCACGACTATTTCCCAATTTATTAACAAGGTGACACATATCATCAATGCTGTGAAGCTCAGAGTGGTGTGACAGGGAGACGCTCTAGCGACAGGTTAGGGGAGGCTGTCCGGGACAGAAGGGATCACCGACATTAGCAGGGACACAAATCAGGGATGACAGAACTGAAAACTCTCAGCGCTCTGAAATACTATAGAATATTAGTGATGAACATCACCACCTATTTCTGGTGGAATCGTGTGGCCTTTGGAGGACCTATTCTGCTCCTGCTACACCAGAAGTCCCATCTGTGCCTGCTGAAATGTACCTGACAAATTGTGTTATTTACACTGTGGAGAGTTTTAAATTCTCTTTGATCGCTTAAATTATCTTTATAAAATACACAAGCACTAAACCCCGGTGACATTTGAAATAGGATAGAAATATTTGGGATTTCTGTGACTCACATATTAATCACCAGATAGCTCTTCTTAGATACTTTCATGGCACTTTGCGTTACTTTTGAGCTGCGCCCCTCTGAGAAGTAGGTTGTATCTCAGGAGTTCAGGAGTTTTAGAAGGATCCTTGTCCAAGGTTTTCCCATTTCCTTCCAACTTTTTGAAAAATCAGAGCCTGAACATCAACGCCTGTTTGCTAAAATAAATCAGAGGAACAGGTATCTAATGGATCTATCTATTAATTTATTTCTATTCCCTACCCTTTTCTGCAGACGTTGGACGGTTTCATCTTTGTTGTGGCTCCGGATGGCAAGATCATGTACATCTCGGAGACGGCCTCGGTGCACCTGGGCTTGTCGCAGGTACGCTGGGGGTCCTGCTCTCCCCTGAGCCTGCCTGCACCACCCCCGCCACTGACAGGAGAGGGTGCGCGGTGCCGGCGATGAGCCCCCCTACTCCTCCTCCTCCTCTCTCACAGGTAGAGCTGACCGGCAACAGCATTTACGAGTACATCCACCCCGCCGACCATGACGAGATGACGGCGGTGCTGACGGCGCACCAGCCTTATCACTCGCACTTCGTGCAGGGTAAAGCACACAGCCCCCGCCCCCGCCCGGCCGCCGCGGTCGCGCAGGGGACCGCGCAGAGCCAGCGGAGCCTGTGGCTCACCCCACCTCTGCCTTTCCCCCTTCCCAGAGTACGAGATCGAGAGATCCTTTTTCCTGAGGATGAAGTGCGTCCTGGCCAAGAGGAACGCGGGCCTCACCTGCGGGGGCTACAAGGTGCGTGCCCCGCGGCCAGATTCCCCGTTCCCCCCCGTACCAGCCTTCCCGTGTCCCTGTGCCGGGAAGGCTGTGAAAAGGGGGAAAGAAGAGGGGGTGAGACCTCTTCTCGCGGGGGTTTTCCCAGCCCAGGGCTCTTTCATGTGGTCCATTTCTCTCAGAGTTTCAGGTTGAAGAGCTCAAACCACAAAACCAAAACCAAGCAATCGAGCTCCCCTTGATGTTTGTTTGTGGACCTTTTAATATTTTTTATTTTTTAATTTTTTTTTTACTCTTTGAACTGAACCTCACACAACCGCTGATGTTCTCGGTGACAGCTTTCAGGCGACACAACCGGAGCCCTGGGTTAATTTATTTCTTAATTAGGTAATTCGTCAGCTGCAGAGGTAGCTCTCCCAGTCAAGGGTTTTGAGAAGGTTCTTCACATGGTTCTGCTCGGGGCTCCTCAGTAAGGAGAGCCCTGCGCTGTCTCGTAACTCCTCGCTGCTTTGTCAGCCACACAACGCCGAGGAGAGGGTTGTACCCATAACCCAAGGAGATGTCGTGTCACGATGTACCATAGACCAAGAACACCTGCTGGACTCCAAGAAGAAACACCTTAATAATAGAGAAGTAAGAGTGGAAGTAGATAGCAGCTGTCTGCAAGGATACGTTTAGGAGAAATTCTTAAATCAAAGGTACTTTTTGGCAATGGTTTGCGCCTGCTCCATCTATATAACAAACGTATCTTACACATGTGACATATGCACACATGAAAGCCCTTTCTCACGCGCATACACTCTTCATTACAAAGTCGTAACTGGATTGGCAGTTCCGCGTCTTTCCTTTTCAGAAGAATAATAAAAGCACAGTTAGGAGGTGGGCCAAAAACCACTTAAGCCAGTGGGGAAAAAAAAAACCTCTTGTTGTCTCTAATGAGCCTTAGATCCACGCTGAACTCTAGTATGGGAAAAAAACCTCAAACCCGATAGAACCGCAGAAAACTCCCAGACGGTGCCGCAGGTCAGCGGCTCCCGCAAGCCCCGCAGCCGCACCGGGATGGGGGAATTGCCGGGCCCTCTTCGTGGGGAGCGACGCCTGTCTCAGCACACTCTTCCCCCCTGCTGAGCAGCCGCCAAGCTTTCCTGTGTCTCCGGCAGGTCATTCACTGCAGCGGGTACCTGAAGATCCGCCAGTACAGCCTGGACATGTCCCCCTTCGACGGCTGCTACCAAAACGTCGGCTTGGTCGCCGTGGGCCACTCGCTGCCGCCCAGCGCCGTGACGGAGATCAAGCTCCACAGCAATATGTTCATGTTTCGAGCCAGCCTAGACATGAAGCTCATATTCTTAGATTCCAGGTAGAGCTGGAGTTATTTCCAAATCTATTCCCCTCGCCCGTCCCTTCTTCCCCAGGCCTCCTCTCACCCACTCATATTTGCTGCTTATGTCTCTTGCAGGGTAGCTGAGCTAACAGGTTACGAGCCCCAGGACCTGATAGAGAAGACCCTTTACCACCACGTCCATGGCTGTGACACCTTTCACCTGCGTTGCGCACATCACTTGTGTAAGGAGATGGTCTTGTTTAAAACCCCGCCCCCATCCAATCCCTTTGCAGAAGGACTTTGGGGTTGCTGGGATTTGCCTCTAGGTCGGCACGTGAAAAGCCAGCTCTCTGGAGGGCGGAATAAGCAAAAATCTTCTTTAGGTTTTAGTGAAACAAGGTTAGATAGAGACTGAGCTCTGGACGCAGGCGGCAAATGTAGGGGACCGGCAATTAAAGGCTGTGTTTCCATCCTCTCCTTTCGGTTGTAGGACAAGAACTGCCCTGCACAAATCTCAGGCGCTGTTTCTTCAAATTCTGGTTAGGAAAACCCTTTTTTTCCTGCTCCAAAAAGCCACACCAGTGAAATATCAGTACTTGCATTTTACTTTCACCAAGTCTCGCAAATCTTACCTGTATATCTAATTTCGACTGCAGTAGTGAGCCTGATTCGGCGAGATGTACTTTATTTTATTTTGATATCATGATGACATTAATACACGCATAGATGAATAGAAAGGATATCAACTTCAGCTAAGTTTCCTTACGGAGAATATAACGAGAAGTGATAAAACCCAAAGACAGATTGATAGAACAAAATCTCGATGATGATATTCAGGATGGGGGTGTGCGGGGTTTGGTTGCCGTAGCCGACCCCACACACACGCACACCCCGGCCCTACCAATCTCCCCTATTAGCCTGTGATAACCATCTCAGGTAGTGAGATGAGCCCTGCCTGGGGGCTCCACCACCCGTGTCCCCGCTGCTTCCCCATGTGCCTCTAAGAGGTTCCTACCCCCTCTGGTCGCCCACAGGGCTCTGGGGGGAGTGTGCCCCTCTTCCCGGGGCTGCTCAAACCAGAGGCGGGAGCCACGCTGAGGCTGTCCTCGCTTTGTCCCCGCAGTGCTGGTGAAAGGACAAGTGACCACCAAGTACTACCGCTTCTTGGCCAAGCACGGCGGCTGGGTGTGGGTGCAGAGCTACGCCACCATCGTGCACAACAGCCGCTCCTCCCGCCCGCACCCGCTCCGCCTCCCGCCGCCGCGCTGGCCAGGGCAGGGCGGGCTCGCCAGGTCCGCTAGGAAACACACTGAGCGCTTTCATCCAGATGAAGGGTTTCCCGTCTGCCCGTTTCTTTCTCTTTCGGGAGGGGAAAAGATTTAGAGGTTTGTCACCCACATATTTTGCTGCCCCCCTCCTTTTTTTTTTTATTTTAGTTTAAATGCACCCAGCATTAAATAAAATTTAATGCGGCGTAAAAGAAAAGGCTTCCACGTACGGAGTTATTTATACTCAACACCGCACTGCATCGTCAGCGTCAACTACGTGCTCACGTAAGTCAGCCCGGCCGCTGCGGGCTGCGGGGGCCGCTCCGGGCTGCGGGGGCCGCTCCGGGCTGCGGCCAGCATTAAATAAAATTTAATGCGGCGTAAAAGAAAAGGCTTCCACGTACGGAGTTATTTATACTCAACAAACAGGACATCTGTTTTTCTTTTCAAAAATCTGGGGTTTGAAGTTCTTAATTTCATCCAGAGTCTCTATCAAAGCTCGGAGATTTCTTTTTTGTTCTTGGAGAGCGATCCTTACAGTGAACCACAAAGAAAGTTGGTGACCAGAAGGGTCAGTTGAACTTAAAAAAAAAAAAAATTAAAATTGAATAGGAAAAAAAAACCAGAATAAGTGGTGAGATACCATAGATCTCAATACATCTCCCTGCATTTTGGAATAGCTGGGTTGTGCCCTAGCTATCCTGCTTGTACTGAAACACAGAGGCCCAGTGAGGGAAGGGAAGCTCGGCTGGACTATTTAAAGTATTTTCATGGCAGTTATTACTATCCCCTCTGGACACGGCAGTAGCTGTTGCCGGCAGCACTGATGTTTCATTAGAATCGTAGCACCAGTGGGGCCGGCAGTCCTTCGTCAATCCTTGGCACTGAATACTCCTCAGTTCTGCTGCCTTTTTTTTTCCCCTTGAGACAAATGTAGGTATTGGAAGGGTCTGAGAGGCCCAACCCTCCCCTCTCCTAAAAAAAGTATGGCAGCATCATGATCTTGCCATCACGGCTTTGGTGCATGCACAGGTGGTGAGTGGTTTGGTAGCCCAGTTTCAGGAGTGCTTCCCAAAATTAAGAGAGAGAGACCACAGAGACCATGGAGACTACGGCTCTGGTCATGTGTGGAAAGGCTCCTGACGGAGTGAGAAAGGTGCTGCAGGTCACGGCGCCAGCACTTCTAGGGCATAATCCCTTTGTTATGTAAGGTGATAATGGGCATCGTGCTCTCAGATGGGACATTGCATCTGCATGAAAAAAATAGACATTTTGGTCAGCACCCTGCGATTCCCCTTTAAAGAAAATTTATTTTATTTTATTTGATATGCAGTATAATACTTTGTCATTTCCTCAGTAAGGATGGGTATCAGCAGAGATGTTATCACTTCTGCTTTAGCTATTCTGCACATTTTTATGTCTATTTCCCCTATACCAGTCCCTGTCTGTGTTTTTCATGGTTTATGCCTCCCAGTTAAGTCCAAGCACCTGCTTTGGGTGAACGGGGAGCAGCAAAGACGGAAGTTAGTGCATTGTAACGCTAAGAAACAAGGAACCCTAAGGCAGCTAGCATGTTGGAGTGGTTTTAGCTCCAGAAACACTGCGGTTTTCTACACTCATTTGAGATTATCAGTTGTTTCCCTCTTCTTTAATCCCCAAAGCGTGAACATCAATCACGGAATTCTGCCTCAAATGATCCGAGTCGAAATGAAGCACCCCAGCGGACCTGCTGAAAGCACAGCTGGGCATCCGGCAGGTTCTGTCCCTTGCTTGCCATGGCACGAGAATTTCAGGCTGGCACGGCAAGCAGGGAGCGCCCTGGTTCCCTTTGGGGGGCCGGTCAGACAAACCCTTCGGAACTGTGTCCCACAGCGTGACAGGCTGTACCGTATGCCTGTGTCCTGTCAGCCCCGGGCTGGCCCGGGCTGTGGAGGGCAGCCTGTAGCTCCAGATCCTGCAGCTCCAGAGCCTGCAGCTCCACAGCCCCGGCAGGAACCCCCGGCAGCCTGGGAGCTGCGCTCGGAGTGCCTCACACTCCCCTCCCCGCCCCCCAAAACGGCCCTGCAGGGAGGACGATTTCCCCCTCAGGAGTGGTACCCTAAAATAGCAAGCCCTCCTCTCCAGATGATTTATCGGTGGAGGCAGAGTCTTTATGCTTTGGGGCATGTATATGGATTTTCAGAACAGCCAAACTGACATGTGGGAAGACTATACCTGTGTTTTCAAGATTTCCCTTAGAGAATGAAATTACACCACAGGGCAACTTCCTTATGCCTTGGTGTAAATCTCCAAGTCTCCCCTTCCACTCTTGGCTTAATTGCCTCCAGTGTGAAGGATGGTGGGAAGACAGAGAGGGAGCCAGGCTGGCTAAAGTAGGAATGCTGAATGTTGGGAGGTCCAGCACCGGCTGCAGCAACTGCCATGTCCTGCTGACAGCTGCAGTGTAGACACTGCCACTGCATAAAAATCTAGTTTTGATATGCTCAGGTCCTTGAGGTCTCATCGAGCCTGTCTGGCACTTCATTAGGGTGCTGCAGAAGAAATCGCATTCTGCTTACTTCTGCAGCAGGGCTGCCACTGCTGAAACTGCTGCTCTGCCTCCAAGAAATGGGTGTAGCTTCAACTAAATGATTAGATAATTATCATCATCATCATCATTATTATCATTATTCTTCTTGGGCTAGCGGGCCATTCAGAAAATATATGGGAAGAACAGGCCCTGCCATTTGCCAGGTGACTGTAAGCAGAGAAAAGTCTGGTTTTAAAAAACTGAGATGAAGTCAGCCTCTGAAACAGACAACTTGAGGAGGAGGGAATTGTTAGGGAAAGGCTGATGGTGGCAGAGTTGGCCAGGGGGATGCTGAACTCCTACCAGGCTTAATTGTCTTAATGAGCTATTCAGAGTTAGCAGTATCACTCAAATGGGGAAGGCAGGTGGGGAAAATATAGAGGAATATGTAAGGTTACAGGGACTTGTGGTTTTCCTCTGGTATGAAGTAGGCTCTCCTGCAGGAGGGCTGGGCAGAGGTCCTGTAGCACTCAAAATCTGCAAGTGTACAATATATTTTATGCCAGTATAAATAGAGACTGCTGTTCTTTAAGGATGACATTGGATTTTCCCAGCAAACCAAGAGAGGCTGAGATGAGCAGTCTGTGTTTGCTCTCCTGTACTTTTCCCACTTGGCAGTGTGTGTGTGGCAGAGCCCCTGATGCAGCTCCTGGTGGAGGAACAGGAGTAGGTGTACTCACTGCAGCCAGGTCATCTTATAAACCCAGCAGAGAAAAATCTGCTTACAAATGAGAAATACAAATCTTTTCATATGGACTCTTGCATGTTTAAGATGAGGAGAAAGCAAAAGATGTGCAAATTAGTGCTTCTGAGTTTTGAAATAACAGAATCACAATCCCACACATTTGCGGTTGCAGGATAGAACTTGAAAGGTGGGATGACTCCTGCTGAAAAATCATCTGAATATAGGAAATTCTGGTCTTTTTGGAGGGCCAATTACATAAGGGGTCATAAGTTTTGGAAGATGTAGTGCAAGTTTTTGACCTGCTAAGTCCCTGGACCTCTCACACAGTAATTCTTCACGCAGGTAAAACCCCAGGATTTCTCTCTTTTTTTGGTTTCGTCATGGAATAGGGAGCTTTTTCTCACTACTGAGAGGAATCCGAGTTCTCTGTTTTAGAAAAGAGTAGACACTGAATATCATAAGAGTCAAAATGGTCTGGAGCAGTTTCAGTGCAGGCTGGGCAGGAAGAACAAGAATCTCTACCTTGCAGCTTTCCAGCTCCCCTGGGTAAGAGTAATGATGAAAAGAAAAAAAGAATGAGAAGGAGTTTACGCAAAAAAGCCCAGTTAAGAAAATTAAAAAGAGGTGATTTTAATTTTCCATAAATCCCAAGTTTTGAGAACATGAATGCTAGGTTTGAGAAAAAATGTTTGTAGTAAGTATATATACTGAAATTAATATGCATGGTGGCAATGGAAAGTGATTTTTTTCTGTGTAATAGCAATGTATCAAAAATTCATATAAATGACCTTTAAGGACTCTTCCTTAAAGCACATATATTTGGTCTTTATTATATTCTGTTTTGGATATGTGAGTATAGACATGGAATATTTGTTTCTTTTCTTATTTGTTCTGTACACACAGACACCATATCATTGATTATTAGCTGTGCATGTTTATCACACAAATGGACTCAAGTATGAGTCAATGAATAGAGAGAGAAAGTGCTGAAATTAAGTTTATATTTAGATTGCAAACAACCTTCCTTCAAACAAATGGATAATGTAAAGTCCAAATCCTTTGACTTTCTGAGCATGAGCAAATATTATAATAATTTGTCCCCAGAGAAAGCTAGAGCAGCTTTCCTACATACATTTTATTGTCCTTTAGCATTTAAAAGAATAGCAATAGTGGTGTCATATACAGATAACATGGATTAGGTACATAATTGTGACTAATCTCTTTTCTAATGATACATCATGTATTTGATATAGTTCCAGTTGACCTCTTCATGTTACATTGTGTAACTGGCTGATTAGAAGCACAAATTGAATGCAATTTATTTGAACAATTATTTCACAAATAACTGCCTTATTGACAAATGTTTTACCCAACAATGTGATAAATACAATTTAGAATAAATTAACCATTGATTGTATCTACACACTTAATCTTTAAGTTCTTATTAATACTATCCATAACTTTGTGTACTACCAGATTTGAAATGATGGTATAAGAAAAGGTGCTATCTTTATGTGTGATGGCTCAGACTTCAAAAATGTCCTGGCATATGTCCTTCCTGGCATATTAAGTGGGCTTTAGGGAATTTTGTGTTTCATGTGAAAAAGCTCTCCGCATATTTGTGGACAGTTACAGTTATATATTTTCATCATTTTTCATAGAAATCCTCTTTTTGTCCTGTCTCTTGTACATCAGCTCTCACCTCTGTCTCTTCTAGACAATGGGAGAATTCACAAACTCTATTTCCACACCCACAGTGTGGGACTCCCCTTCTTGAATGTTTCTCTCAAATTGACACATTTGGAATTCCCACAGAGTTCTTTCCTTAGTCATAGGTAGATACTTGTTTTCAAGTGAGTGATGGAGTAGGTAGGACAGGGAATGCCCTGGGAAAGTTACCCTTCCTCATACTATAAGTGTAATTAGTTGCATGAGTAAGCTTAGTCATCCAACTTAAATACTAGAGATATGGCTTAGTGACTTCACCTGGACAATATTTCGGGTTCTTTCTTAAATAGTTGTAAATAGTAG